TGAAAAAAAAAAAAAAAAAAAAAAAAAAAAAAAAACAAAGAAATAAAAGAAAACAAAACGTAGTGTTCTTGTGCATTATAAGTAATGACCGTGTTTAAGGAAACTATTGGCATCTAAGCATTATGGCCAAAAGTGTATCGCACGTCGTACACTTTTTATATCGGTAAAATGGTGCCCTAAAAAAACATTTATACATAGCATTAGTCCAATTTTGGCGAAACTGTAACAAAGTTGGAATTAATCCGAAACGATAATCGTGATATGCATCGGTTCGGAGCCTCTGACAGTTATATATATATATATATAAATATTATATATGTATACACACGTACACAAAAACAGATACACAAAACGTGCATACCTACATTATTCGATTTTTCTGTAAATATCATTTGCATATATGCATAATATAACGATACTGAAGTGTACATTTAACCTTAGTTAAGGATCAAAGGAGAGATACAGAAGAAACTAAAACACTGTGCTGTGAGTTGTAATTTTTATTTTTATTTTTCTATTTTTTTCTTTTTCCTTTTTGTTTGCCTTTTTTTTTTAAATAAAAAAAGAACAAAAAAGAAAAGAGTATCGGTATGATCAGAATCTTAGAGAAAGAATAGCGTCACGAACGAAACGTTTCTTTGAATTGATGTGGAACACGATATCACTGCACAGTGACGAGGTTCGTTATCGTAAATTGGAGTTTTTCGCATTTCGATTCTATCGTGATGATGATCATCGATTTTATGGGAAGAACATAGGCCTGTTTAGGGTAAAATTGTACATTTGCAAAGAAACGTCGAGGCCCTAGACTGAACGTTCCCACACATCGATTTCGTCGCTCTGTACCTCCTGCTAAGAGTCTGACACATCTTTTCTTTTAAGAATTGTTCTTTTGCGCTCAAATTTTCTAATTTCCCTTCGTTGTTTTTCCTAAACACGATCAACAGTACAACATGTTTTTAGTTGATACTGAGAGGCGTCTCCGCGACAAATATTTTTTATTTGACGATCCGTGGAAGTCCTGAAACTGAACATTCATTCTGAAGTACAAAGTTCTTTAAGAGGCGATTTAGAGAAAGAATGTATTAAAAGAGAGAAAGGGAGAGAAAGAGAGGGAGAGAGAGGGAGGGAGAGAGAGAGAGAGAGAGAGAGAGAATAAGCTGCAATAAGAAAAAAGAAATTAGTATGGCAGAAGAATCGTAGGCTATTTTTTGTAAAGGAAAAAGTGAGAAAACGAATTAACGAATGCGTAGATTGCTTGCATTTTTCTTCGTTCTCGGGATTTGTAGATTGTTCTAATTGTTCCGTACACGTACCAAAAAAAAGGGTGTCGAATTTTCTTTTTTAAAAATTTATTTATTTGCGTTGTAAATTTCGTTATTTTTTTTTCTTCTTTTCTTAATCCGGTGATCGGTAATGTATTTTTTCTTTTCTTTTTTCTTTTTTTTTTTTCTCTTCTTTTTCTATTCGACGAATGTAAATGGTACATTTGATTAAGGACAATTCGCCCAGTGTACACAGCGGTGTAATTTAAGATTAGCGTATTGTACAAAGATTTCATATCGAAATTCTCGCGTATTTGTCGTGTGTACATATATATATTAAATATGTTATAATTAATTACGATATTTCTTATTGGGAGTTCCTCGTTGTAATATGAGTTATAATTACTCGGCTCTTGTATATTTCGCAGATTTTAAACTCGCACTTAACATTCTATTCGAAGGGGAAACACACAACGAATTATTTCTCTCGGTCAAAGGGGAAATTCTCTAGCTAAAGAGTTTAAATTTTGCTGAATCTGAAGGCCATAAATATTTCTTACTTTCCGCTGAACATTTTGTGCAACAACTATGAAAAAAAAAAAAAAAAAGGAAAAAAATGAGATAAAGTCGTACAAGTAATTACTGAATCAAACGTTGAATGTGATGCCAGAGAATGAGAGAAAGTATTTTGACATACTTGATGTATTAAAAAAATCCCAGCAAACTTTTCGAGGCACTAGGCGATCACTGGTGCAGAGAGGGAGAAGGAAAGATATCGAAAAGATGGCAAATCGTAATTTAAAATTCTGATAAGTATATTTAATGTTCATAGTTCCTCGAAGAGTTCACACGAGCCAAGAAATCAACTTATTCGTCACATTTTACAATATTTCTGTTCTAAGCGCGTACAAGGAATAGCTAATCGGGTAAAGTTTCATAGTTTAAAAAAAAATTTAAAAAAAAGAAATTTTAGCGCGCGACAAAGCCACGTTATACCGTTCTGACATGTTTTATCGAAGAAACCAAAACTTTTAAACGTGATATCAAAGTTTAAAAAGCTCTGTGACTAAGGAATAAGTTATTCAAGGAAACAGTATACACGAGAATGAATTTTACAGAAATCCTGGTGCATTCTATGGGTCTCACTGGTAATATAGCAAAGAGTGTAAAAATACGGCATGTCAAACTCTCCAAACCACTTCCTGTTTAACTTGCGTTCGTTTGGCTGCAGCTTCTACAAAATAAGAATGAAAAAAAAGGAGAACAGAACGATAGGAAAGAACGATACTTGAAAGTGAAGACAAAAATGCTATGGGGAGAACTAAACGAGCGATATTTTTGGCATTTGGTATTCCTTTATACTTTAGCCGATATTTTGTAATAAACATGTATACTAGTGTAAGTTACTTGAGCTAACCGGGTGATGCGAACGATGGATTAGGGGTGTGTACAGCTTCACGTTCGTCGCCTGGTTAGCGGCACTGTGAAATTTGTACATATTTTTGTAAGATAAATTTAAGTATGGACGTCTCCTTTGAGATCTTTCAAAAAAGATAAAACGAAACATCTATCAAGAGCCGAAAGAAAAAGTATATATAGAACGATAATGGAAAGGGAAAGTGATAAAAAACGAAAGAGCGGTAATACGATTGCTTTTTGCGGTTACACACACATGCGTTCAGCTTTGTAATGTATTCTATTCGTTATACAATTCTCTCTGGTTGCCCTAACGTATCTGTATAATGGACATTCTGATAAAGCGACAAAGGCGTTCTGTTGTTACATATAAAGATATAAGTAAGACGTGTTAGAGAGGTGAGAAGAAGGCAGAAAACCTAGTAAAAAATTCGTTAGTACAATAGTTTCAATGTTGTAAATAAAACAGATCAATAGCGATTATTATTATTATATTATTATTGTATGTACATATATATATACATATATATATAATTATATAGCTACATATAATTATATATATAAAAGAAAAAGTTCGTCTTTATAATAGTACCGGAACACATGATTTTTTTATTTGCAATTCACTGTTACATGTATGTGCCTAGTTATTAGCCACGTTGCATTATATTCTACATTGTATGATAATTTAATTCGTACTATCGATTAATGAATGTAACAAGTTCTTCGATATCAAACTCTATATGAATATAATATTATGGCGTAACGTGTAAAGAGCTCATATTTAGGCATACATGAAATTTAATAAATCGGAATACATTTTACGAATTAACAAGTCTTAACGCTATCTTGTTGTGTATACACCTTTATCTCTCTTATCCATATATCCATCTACATTTAGTTTATACCACGATCTTTTTGTTTATCTCGTTGTATGGTAATGAACTCGAGCTATTTTTACCCTTCTTGTTACTATGTACGTAAAGAAATAATTTATCGGATTGCTTATCGTGAACGAAAATTTTCCAGCACGAAGGACTTAGTGTAGAGCAAACAAAACGTTCTTCCTCTTTAATCTTCTTGTCTGTTTTTTCAAAAAAACGCTCGTACTCCCGCCATTCCTATTTGTGCGTTTCGATTGATCGACTCTCTTCTACGTCATCGCTGATAATCACCGGCAATTGGCCGAGACAAGCGGCAGGCGTCTGCTATGACAGTCGACTCAGCGGCGTCCGACGCGGCGATCAGCAGGCGGCGCAATGTCTTCGTTCTCCCAAGCTCAGCTGGACGCAACAGCTGTAAAAAATTTTCGCGACTACTTGCGAATACCATCGGTCCAGCCGAATATCAATTACGGTAAGTAATTTTGGATATTAAATCTTTAACGTACCTAATATATGCACAACGATGGACAACGTGAATATTTTTTAAACTTCACGCGTGTACCTTTAAGCACACGATCATGTAAAAATTGTACACGCATATTGCGTACCGGAACGGGGTCGGTCATTTCCTTGTTAAGCAAATTACCTATTTCTCGTGCAGTACGGAACCTCTAGCCTCGCACGTTAATCGTGGACATTAATTCACGAGGCACACGCGTTTCCGCATGGGGACAGGGAATCTCTCAGTTAGCTCGACCGACTCAAGTTCGAAGCGTCGGAGACGCTATCCAGCCATTGCATGCCCCACCCTGTATGGAATGTTATTTCTATTTTTGTATTTTTTCATCAAGCTGACAGTGTGCATCTAAATTTTCTGTGAAATTATCTCCAAAGTTTCTATTCATTTAGCGAAAAAATTCGGAATTTAGAGGCTTGAATACGATCGTTATTTAAGTACGACTCGTGGATGACCTAAATTGTATGTAATCAGTAATTCCTCGTAATTCTCATGTTGTCTCATTTGTTTTTCGTATCTGTACGATTTAATTAAGTTTATCGATAATAAAAAATCATCGCAACCATGATCATATCGTAAACAGTTGATTATATTTATTATTGGAACAGTTGCGTTGCAGGGATTGACGGTTCGTAAATTCGTAGATCTTTCAACAAAAGATGTTGATCATTGTGACAGATAAGATTATTTCTTTTATTGTACACAAAACATATAGCAGGTATTTAGGACTCTCAGAGATTCTTCACTCTGTTTAACTTTTGATATTTGAACTCTGATTGTGGATATTCATACTATTCCCATTTGCTTTAATTTTAAACGATAAAATGGTTTGAGATACTAATGTTAGATTTGAATCAGAACTAAGAAAAGGTAAAGATTTTAGAATTGATAAATTATTTAAAAAAAAAAAAAAAGAACTTTAATATAATTATTCAATATTAACTCTAGATTTTTATTTTACAGATGACTGTGTTGCATTTCTTCAGAAGCAGGCCAAGTCTCTTGACTTACCTATTAAAATATACCATGTTTATCCAGATAAACCGATTGTGGTTCTCACATGGAATGGTACAGATCCATCAAAACCAGCTATTCTGTTAAATAGCCATATGGATGTTGTACCTGTTTTTGAAGTAAGTACAACATTATTAACAGCTTAATACTAAAGGAAAGATCTAAACAGATTTATAGGTAATAAATATATCTTTTTAGGACAAATGGACCTATCCACCATTTAGTGCTCATATGGATGAACAAGGAAACATTTATGCACGTGGTAGTCAAGATATGAAATGTGTTGGAATTCAATATCTAGAAGCAATTCGACGCATGAAACTTGCAGGACAACGTTTTAAAAGAACAATCCATATTTCCTTTGTACCAGATGAAGAAATAGGAGGCGTTCTTGGCATGAAAGATTTTGTACATACTAAAGATTTCCAGGCTCTAAATATTGGTTTTGCATTGGATGAAGGTGTAGCTTCACCTGAAGAATATTTTTATATGTTCTATGGTGAAAGATCAATCTGGCATATTGTAGTAGAATGTGCAGGCACCCCTGGCCATGGATCTCTTTTATTGGATAATACAGCTGGAGAAAAAATAAGAGTCATAATTGATCGTTTTATGGACTTCAGAGCTAAGGAGAAAGAAAAATTGAAAAATCCAAACATACAACTTGGTGATGTTACGACTGTAAATTTAACTCAACTAAAGGTACATAACCTGGGATTTACTGCTTATTATATATTTTAATACATATTGCATAATAGTTTAATATATTAGTAGTTTTATTTTAAACATTTGGAGTACATTATTTCATTAAGAAAAAAATTTTATTTTAAAATTTACATGTCTGTACACTTAGGTATAAAATAGGCATAAAAAGTAAGTATCTCAGTAATTTGACAAAAGCTCTTTAGATAATTTTGATATGTAGAAGTGATGAAATTTTATATTATACAAACCATATAAACACATAATTTGTTTCAGGGTGGTGTACAAACAAATGTAGTACCACCTTCATTGACAGCAATTTTCGATATTCGAATTGATCCTTCCATCGATCATAGTGAGTTTGAAGCTATGATCAAAAGATGGTGTCAGGAAGCTGGTTCTGATATCACATATTCATTTGAGCAAAAGAATCCCAAAATTGAAAATACAGAGTTGGACGATTCTAATCCCTTCTGGATTGCTTTTAAACAATCTTGTGATGACCTTGGGATAAATTTGAAAATGGGAATCTTCCCAGGTGGTACAGATAGTCGATATGTAAGAGAGGTAAATATTTTTCTATTAACTTTCTATTCATATAAAATGCTAAACAATTTAAAAAAAAAAACTATTCTTTACAGGTTGGAATTCCTGCAATTGGTTTTTCACCTATGAATAAAACAAAAATACTACTTCATGATCATGATGAATATTTGAATAAGGATATATTCTTAAAGGGCATTGAAATATACATGAAAATAATACCATCTGTAGCTAATGTTTAAGCAGATGCCATTAAGACTTTAAAAAATTCTTTAAAAGTCCCTTTATTAAAAGACCAAAGTTATGTAATTAATAGAAATAGGGATTAACAAGAAATAGCAAAGAGTTTAAACAAATAGTACAAAGAATGTGGTACACTGACTAAACAAAATACAATGCAATAATACATAAAGTTTAAAGAGTTATATAAATAAAAAAATTTATTGCGTTACAAAAATATATTCAAAATATATATATATTATTAATATTAATCAAAGTTACCAAGTTTGTTAAATAATGGTTATTCAAGAAAGACATCAAAGATTAATAGAAAGCCATAAAGATCTAACGGAAATAATTATAGCATACAACCAATTCCAGCGAAGAATAAAATGAAGAGAGATCGTCAAAGAACGTAAAAGGAGAATCAAATAATCATACACAAAGTACGTTTAAGGAGTAATAAAAAGAAAATCTTATCAAGAACAGTATAGTTAAACAGACTTAATTCAGGTGTTGAAAAATGCATTTATCAATCTTTTTAATGCATTTAATAAATTGGGTCCACAATATTTGTCATGTAGCTATAAATGAAACTAATTTTCCTAAAAATATGTTATAAGAAGTCAAGTGCAATATTAAAAAGCTGTAAAAATTTGATGTATATGTATACATATATACATACAAGTATATATAATTGTTTAAATAATCATATATATTTTATGCAAATCAAAGCAAAAACTATGTCTGTGGTAATTATATATTTTATGCATAGTGCAGCAAATATATCGGAGAAAATAGATATAAGAAAACGTCTATTGATCTCGGTGGTAAAAGTTTACATTCTGTGCGAAATTCCGTAAAAAAATCAATTGTAATGGTATGTTTCATTAATATTTAATTCAAGATAGTGCGTAAAACGCTATTTTGCAGGGTGACAGTGTTGTATATTTTTTTTCACGTTAAAGTCGGTAAATTTGTGTACGTGTGTGTATTCCCGCCATTATTGCTGTGTTCATTCTTAACGGGACTGCCGTCCTCCCCTCTCTATTAGAACGATGGACTCGTCCAATATTTTCGACCTTCTGTCATGAAGAATTTTCGCGCTGTTAGTACAGGTTGTAAAATATTTTGCTTGCATGGAAAGATAAAAAAGGAAAACATTTTTTTAAGTCAAAAACAAAATTAAAATATATTCAAATATAGTGACAGTGAGTGATTTTTCGTGCATTGTTTGGATTCGGCCATTTTGAAGTGGGGAAGGTAAGGGAAAAGATGTGCTATTACTGTCATTCGTAACGTGCATACTATAGTGTCTATAGACGCGATAAATGATTCAACGAATAATTGTTCGTAAAAAATTGTTATTTTTCATAGGAATCATAATTCTGTAAAAAAATAGAAAAGAAAAATCCCTCGTACGTATCCCTTTGTCAGCCATGTGTATAAGTACATCGTTTAAAATGTCCTCGCAACCCATACTGAACAGCCAATAAGGAGAGGACGGCAAAGCCACGTGACCGCAGCTGGCCAATCGTCAGGACGAGATTTGAAATCGTGCGTGGTCTTTGTTCATGAGCCTCCCGTCAACGTTACTTCAGTTCCGTAAAGGGGGCCTTGTGTCGGTGTCCGTTTATACATGGTCGCTGCCAAAAATCGCATAATTCTCTTGTAAATATATGTGTGAAAGTGGTGCTTGCCCGCGAGGACGACGTGCTTTAAGGATTGTCAAACACACGGTAGGTCTTGTTATGCTTTATTATGTGCCGTTCACGCGAGTCTTGCCGAAAATTCATGAAAAAATATTTCGTCTTCTTTGCCGGCCCGCCGAGCCATCGTAGCTTTCGAGTGTCAAGGTACAAGGGGGCAGTCATGACGCTTTGAACGCGAATTTTTTTTTCCCTACCTTTCCTGTTGTACAAAGTTTATCACATATTATGATACGTCCACGTTCATATTCGTGTTTATCTATGACGATTGATAGTGTTTGATTAATGTGTCAGCAATTGGATTGTTCGGTGATCTTTTTTGCCCCTGCGCGTTGCCGGTATTTTTAGGCCGTTTTAGATACAATAAATTCACGATCAGTTGTGAGATTCATACATTTGCCGCGCTTCGTCGATTTGGTGGCGTAGGCGGTCGTGAGCATATCACCATGGCAATTATTTATTAGCGTACAACGCTCCATAAAAATAAACAATCGCTGGGTTCGCTCGTGTGTCAAATCGAACTGAATGAGTGATTCATCGTAGAGAGAATGTACCTCAACATAACTTTCGGCGGGAAGAGAGCACATTACCGGGAAACATCACTGATATAATATGTATTTCCGGTGATGAAAGCCATTGTTTTGCCGCGCAATGCACTCTATGCAATGTCACGTTTGCACTTATATATACGGCGAATCGTCATCTTGATTCAGTGTCGTATTTATAAAAAATAAAGGGAAATAATTGTGTACGAAAATAGTTTTCGTACCAGTTTTTATTTTAACGAATTATTTTTCTTGAAGAAATCTATTTGATTTTAAATAATTATTTTATCAAACAATCGGTGATTTCCATATTTCATTTCGAGTCAAACGTGAATAAATTATTATCGATATTTACTACTTTAATTAATATTGCATAATGTCGGTTTATGTATAGGTCGTAGAAAAAAAAAATTATCACCAAAGATAATTAAAAATTAATAAGCAAACTAAACGACTCCTTGTTTACGTGCAGTTATCGATTATTTTTATTAAAGAACATGATGATAATTAACACAGAATTATTAAGTTATTTTTCATAATCATAACGAGCAACCTAACGCTTAAAATAATTAACGTAGCTCGCCCAAAGTTTCCCTCTCGTCTTGACGGCAAGTAATCAATAACGGGAGTAGCAATTAAAAGTGGCCATTTTCGACGAGGATTAAGATCTATAGGAAATAAACTATCGATTTTTAGGCTATGGAGGGGGAACACATCGTTACGAATTATAATCGACTTATTTTCATTTTCGTAAATGTTCGTAGTGTACCGTTCGTGGGAGATATATTGGTTTTTTGTTGAATCGTTCTCAGAAGAGGATTTTTGAAAATATTGCGAATAACGAGTAGTAGGGAGGGCCCCTCGAGCACTTTCAAGCCTCACCGCCACGAAAGCTATTGACCGTGGGAACCTTCTGGGAACCCTACCCCTTGCCATATGCCCACCACAGGAAATATCCTACAGGCTCGACCGAAATTTACCTCGCCATATTTCGTGTTCACGAATGATTATTTGTCACTGAGGAGCGTTCCTTCTCTCTCATCAATAAATACCTTTTTTCATTTACTACTTTCGTATACCGTGGTAAAGAAAAGTTTCTTCATGACGTGATTCCATGTCGTGTCTGACTGGCCATTTTGTAATTTTTTCTTCCTTTCTTTTTTTTTTCTCTTTCTTTTTTTCCTCAATTTTTACGATCCGACAGTATAATTACGAACGGAATCGACTGTAACTTAGTTATTATTTTATTTCTTATATAGCAGTAGAAAGGTGTTTAAAAATTCTTAAATTAGATACGCCATGTGTAAATCGGAAGCCATGTTCGTGAGTTATTAGAACATCGTAATTACGCGTCTGAATGCTTCTTTACTTCGCGTTTTCTGTTTACCAAAGGATCGTTTGAAGCGAACATTTGAATCGTGCTATTATTTAGCAACGAAACTGGGAGAGTGTCTCTCGGACGCGTTAGAAAGTCGGTTTAAAAGATGTGAAAAAAAATAAAAAAAATAAAAAGTTCGTGAATTACGCTTTCATGCGATACTTATAGCTTCAACTCTTCTACGGTTATCAAGCGGAACTCTCGTAACGCAATTTTTTAAAGCGATGATAACGCGACGGATTTAACGTTGCACGTTTAGTAAACGCGCAAGTGCTATCGGAATGCGAGATTTATTCGTTTCGACGTGTTTTAATTTACAGGATGCCTCTGACCGTCCTATCGCGGTTAAATCTAATCGAGATCAAGGATCGATTTTGCGCTTCCGTAGCGGTTCCATGTTGGTGTTACAACACGCAACAACTTGTAGCTCACGAATGTGCAGAGAAATTCGCTTTGTCGAATGCAGATTGCGTGCCATTCGACGCAACACGCGAAATTTTTCAGGAAACTAAATCGGCTCCCTCGGTGAAAGCAAAATGCTGCAAATAGAGAGTAGTTTCGATCAAATCGCACGCTTGAACTTCATATCGAAGATCGAAAAATAATTATTACAATTTTGAACCCTTACTGTTCTATTTTTCAATTATTACCAGATCCGCCATTACCGTGCTCGATGTTTTCTAACCTCTTGCGAAAATTATAAATAAATTTGTCTTCGGCGTAATTCTCTACAATCACGGTGATAAATTAAGAGAGATATTTTTTTCGCGCCAATTTGCCACTGGCACACGTCCACGTGTACGTGACGTTCCCGCGTTCGATCTGTCTCCCTATCCGTCGATGTGCAGTGCCGTGTGAAGTATATCAACTATAAAAATCACCAGTCTGCGCGGACATCTATTTCTGCCTAACGTCTACGCATGAAATTGGTAATAAATTTCTTCCTATATTATGCATCGTTTCGTTACAGAATTATGACGCAAGATAACCTCAACGTAACACTGTAATCATTAAATTTTCTCCTTTATTATCGTAGGAAATATTTCGCCAATAATTAGAATTGATTGGACAATTGACAAGGCTAAAAAGTGTGTATCAGGAAGGAAGGCTGGCTCGGTGCATTTTCAAACTGTCTTGCGGCAGGCAAGAACCGAGCTTCCCCACCACCAGCGCCAGCTTTGTCGCGCGTCTGTAAGCGTGCACACGTATGCAGCAATGGTGGGGCGCAGACACGCTCATAGCTCTCTTGCAAACACTGGTCGACCGGCGGCAGGGATATCAGATCGATACTCGGCGAAAAGCGCGGGTAGGAGAGGAGAGCACAGCTATACTGTATCTCTACGGTTGGTCCATCGCAAGATCCAGACTGTCGGCTCTCTCTATGCACTCGTGGATACGCCCCTTCATCGTTTTAATGCCAACCAAATTCATCGGATTCACTCCGTTAATCTCGACGTTATTTAGCATCCCTGCAGGTACTCGGAAAAAACACCCAGGGTGTTTCCTTTTCTTCTCTTTAACTTTTCTCTTCGATTTAGATACGTAGTTTCAACGAACAGAGAAGGAGGATTGGTTACATTGCTCCCAGAGAGTGGGAAGCTACATGATGGAGGAGGTAAATCTTTGTAATTGTGTGCTGAGTCAGCCTTCACATTACTGCTCATTGTTATGGAAGATAAATTGTATAATTGCAGCATTATAGAGTACTATCGGCGCAAAAAAGGGGAAGAAAAAATAGGGAATAATTGAAGAATATCTCGCAAGGTGGAATTATTGGTGTAAAACAGGCGTGTTTCACCGTTTAGGAGGTGATATCTTTTTTGCGGATAGATAAGGAAAGCGAAGATTATGTTGCGCAGGAGGAAGCAGTTCATCTTCTCGTCTCGCTATAGAGTTCTGCGCGTTATTCTTTTTTTACTCGTCTGATTGACCTCGTTGGTTAGTCTCTGGATCCAAGAGGAAAAAGAAGCCAGCTGTGCTCTCGATCCTTCCCGCTTCATAGCGCGAAAATTGTATCAGGAAACACGTGGTTAGATCGGTACAGTCAGCTTCGTGTGCCTGTAGAACACTTTCACGTTGTTCCACTCGATATCAAGTATGCATTCGCGTGCGCCTGTTCTTCAGTATTTATTTCACAGCCATGAAAATGATGTCACCGGAAATGAGCGCTCATCGTTGCCACATGCCGTTTGTAGTTCACTCGCATGTTTTCCGAACGTTTTCATACGAATCGTTCAGCCTTTTCTTTTCACATTTCCCTTTTTTTGCCTTTTTCTTTGCCAATCGTACAATAGTCTTTGGACACGTATGTACCGAGAAACGGGCTGCGGGTACTCGTATCTATTACTTCTCGGTAAGGCTTCTCTAATGATTCGTATTTAAGACCAGCATATAGACGATCTCGATGGACTTGAATTTGAGTTCAATTTTTGGATCTTCAGGTAATATAATAATATTTTGATTAATTTTTTTGAGTTAACAGACAACTGTATGGATTAATTTTCACAGGATAGGAAATACCTGGTAACCAAGTCTTCGAAAAATATTCTCGTCACGTTATTCCCCGACGAACCATGAAAGGGAAGAAGCCCATTGCTTGAGGAAATAGAGAAATTCCAATAGTAATTTTGGAGGCCAAAAATTTCGATACCTGGCCTAGGTTTAGGTTCCCATGGTCAACTTGTTAGGACGCCCTATTATACCTTATTCTTCGGCTATACAATACCAAAAATCGAGGCAAAAGGATATATTTCTAGCAAAGGGGAATTAAAAAGGAGGACATTGTTGGAGTCCAGCGCATAACACTCGTTCGCACATTAGGCACTGTTCTTGTTCACGTGGCCTTGTTTAAACTTTTTATCTCTTACGTAACGAATAGAGAGCTCGAAGAAAAGAGCATCACTTTCTCAAGCGCTTTACTGTCGTAATAAAGAACCCACGAATTTCGTTACATTTAGAGGAAAAAAAAAAACACTCCACGTGGATTGTTTCGATCATACCTTCAGATATTTCTTAATCGTAGAACTGCCGAAAGAGTTAAAACGGCTGACTCCTGATTTTTTACTTTGTAGTTGCTGAAAACGTGCCACTGCTTTTAGCAAAATTAA